AGAGAGAGAGAGAGAGAGAGAGAGAGAGAGAGAGAGAGAGAGAGAGAGAGAGAGAGAGAGTAACATGAAGGTCGAATATGCTCAGCAGCCCCGAAGAAGATGACGAAGTGATGGTGGTGTTGGACCTTTTCTTGGGGAAGAAGGGGGTACAGAGGTGTGCGAGCAGTACAGGCACACATTTCGCAATATAGCATCTGTTTCTACTTGTGCCAGAAAAAAATGGTACCAGACGGCAGTTGCAATCATGGTCGTTGTTTGCTGTAAGCGGTGCCCAGTCTCAAGGAGTTCCACTCAGGTTAAGATCACAGCAGTTACGCTGCTGGTCAAAGATGCTTGGGTGGTGGTTGACAGATCAGAACCAAGGCAGACCTGGCCCAGAAGTCAGCTCGGAGGGCATGCCATGGCTGTCCTCGGTTGAACCTGTTCGCTTTCTAGGATTTAAAATCACAGAAACAGGGACGCGTCACTCCATGGCCCTGGATCTGTTATCCAAGATGATAAGGAAGTTGGGAGCCTGGGAACCGATCTATACCTCCTTATATGGACGGTCATTAATTCCACTGCATCAGTCTTTTCAATGCCATGATACGTGGGGTCAGTGTGGAGCCCACTGGCGCAGACAACAGCAGACTTGAGGAGAAACACGGCGGTGTATTATGGACTGCAAACCCGTCTAAACCTCACTTCATCTCAAAGGTGGCGTGGAATCACGTGATCGGGAAAAATGAAAAGGGAGGTCTGGGCATTATGGACCCGGAACAGCAGCTGAATGCTTTGCAGATCAAATGGATAATCAAGCTCATTTCAAATCATAGACTCCCTTGGAGGCCCCTGGGCCTTGAACGTATCAGGAGCATGGCCAAATACAGAACCCCACCCAGCATGTCTGACCTGTGCTGGCTACAGTGTAAAAACTGGGCAAAAACAAGCAGGGAGGAGAGCACAAGAGAGCAGAGAGTCGTGGGGGAGAGGGAAGGCACCTACTGGGGGCAACTGCTAAAGCTCTGGGGGGAAATGTTCCTGTCCAGAACCAGACAGCCTCGTAATATGGAGGTGGTCTTGAGGCAACCTCTATTCTGTAATCCTGGGATAAAGGACGAACGGGGGAAGCCCAGAACGCAAACCTCCCACGACTCAAATGGGGAACCTGGGTAGAACATGGAGTGTGGCAAATTAGGCATCTATGGTCAGAGGACGATGGTCAGTGGAAAACAGCAAGGGACCTACGGAGGGAAATGCAGGGGAGTCATAGGCTGCTCGGAAATCTCGATGATTTGCTCATCTCAATCCCGGCAGAATGGAAGACCCTATTAGAGAGCGGGCCGAGTGGGGGTATGTAGACTGGGTTACACTGAAGCCGGAGGACTCTCCGAGGGAGGCGTTCCGGGTGCACCATCAGGTGGGGCCACAGTCGGACTGGCTCGCCACATACATGCACGCTATTGAACAGCCGGGGGCTACAGTTAAGCCTGCTAAAAAAGGAATCTAAAACCCCAGTAACAATCCAGTTGGGGGTTGTTCAGAAAGTGAGGGTGGTGGAAACAGAGGATTTCACTATCGTCTGTCCTACTACCCTGGTGGAGGACCTTGAAAGCGACCCAGCGTGTCTCACAGAATCACCATACTTCGTTACATGACCCGCCTGGGATATAAGCTGTGTCTGTGACTGTAACCCCTCAAGGAGACACTAACCAAGCGATGGGAGGACAAGATGGGAGTACCTGCCGGACAGATGCCGACTGTTCAATGGTCCTCACTGATGGCCATCAGACTGGGCTGTGTACGGAGCATGCAGTGGCTGATCTATTACCTGGCTTTGCCAGTCAGCGTCTGGTTGAATGTGCGTAGAAGCCAAGAACACGGACTTTCCCAGAATGAGCTCTGTGAGGTATAAGGGAAATCATGGAACATTGCTTAATAGCGTGCATGTAAAACGAATATGGCAAACAGCCAAGGAATGGTGGTGGGACTTTTGGATGCCCAGTTCCCAGAGGCCATCATAGTGCTCCTCATGGGTGGAGAACTGCCCCCAGGCTGGTCAATCTTTGAAAGGAAGTCCTTCCACCTCTTACGCCAGTATGGCTCATGGACTATATTGAAGAGGAGATGCCAGCTTACAATACATGGTCAACCAATGCCCATCCCAGAAGCAAGGGAGATCTTCAAGAACCTACAGGAAACCGACATAAGGACACGATGGAAGCGAGTGCGACATAAGATGCAACAGAACCCAGAGGGAGTTAAGGACATCCAAACCCGCGTTGAACATACGACTTTAGGTTCCGGGAAAATGGCCACCTTAGAGGGAACACACTTAACTTTACACTTTTGCACTTGGTAGGCCAACAGGAAGCTGTGGGGAGAGCAAGGTCTTTGGGCTTTAGGCCCTGAATCCCGGAGGGTTAGGGTTTAGGGTTTAGGGCAAAAGAAATTACAGTTGGTTAAATAAAGGGAGGACTGTAGCCATCCCACACAAGATAGCAAGTGTACCTCAGAGCCGGAGAGACCAGAGGAAAGGCAGTTTAATACACGAGGTCAAGATTTAACAGTTGAGGCTACCTTAGGCAGGGGTGAGGGGTGGTACATTCTTCACTAGGGAAGCCATCAACGCCGTCCACTCGGGCCTCCCAGCCATAATGGGGAGGAGTGTGTGTGGGTAAACATTGTAATTTGTACGAGTTGTCGGGGGAATAGGAACCGGACTGTCGCTCCCCAGAATGGAAGGAGCCAGAGCCGCAGGGGCCCTGCTTTGCAGAGTTAAAAAAAAAAAAAAAAAAACTCCATGTCCATTCTGGGGAGTAACAGTCCGGTTCCTATTCCACCGGCAAGTCAAAAGGAATAGGATTTGTACTCACCCAACGCTCCTCCCTCATTATGGTTGGGACTCTTGGGAGGCCTTTTCACATACTGTTGAGGTGAGAGCTTTAGTTGTCGCATGCAGGGCATGGTTTGCCTGAGCGGTAGAAATACAGCGGACAAGCGGCATGCTAGAACACCTCATCTGCAGCAGGATGCATTCCAGGGTAGATACGTATGCTGGACCTTGTTCAGAGCAATTAGAAATTTACTGCAGTTGTGTGATGAGTCTGGGATCTGTTGGGATTTTTAGGAAACGTTGGAAATTTGAATATGTATGGGACATCACAAGGGTCTGGTGCCATATGTGTTGGGGAGTCTAAAACATTTTGGGGACTCGAACATTTGCTTGCTTGCTGTGTCCTGCTGATCTATCAGATGCGAGGATGCCCTTTACTTGGAATTGATGATACCCCAACTTTAAGAGCCAAGGAGGAGCGCTTCACAGAAGCATGTTGGCAGGTGAGCTCCAGCTCCATACGTCTTCCCCCCCCCCCCCCCCCCCCCCCCCCCCCTCGGGGCAAGGAAAAGAAAGTGTTGCGCTTGAAGCCAGTGCCGTGGCACAAAGTGGTCATACCATTATGGTTGTTAAGTTGTTAACACTTGTTCTATCTTTCATGTGATTAATATGAAGTTATGAACTTCCGGAGCGCTGAGCTTAGAGGGAAATGACAATCGAAATGTCTGAAGAGTTTGTGTTCGTATGCTCATCTATCTGTAAATCCATCCTTTCACTGTTTATGCATCCACCCCTCCATCTGTCCATCTGCCTGTCCATCGGTTTTGTCTGTCTGCCTGTCCGTTGGTTTGTTCATTCACTTGACCCCTGTTGGTTAGTGCGACTTGGTGCTAAGAGTAGGAGGCATCAGGGAGGCATCAGGCCTTACAAGTAGACAAGTGATTGGCACTGGTGCTTTGCAACTTTGGTTTCCCGTCCAGGAGAGGTGCAAGGAGATGGTAGGAAGCTGGTGGGACAGGCACAATCGGAATTGCAGTGTCCACTGTGGGGTTTCTTGCTGGTCGATCCTAAGTTGTGAAGCAAAGACTTGCCAGTGGCTCTGTCAAGGTAACAAGAGAGGTTGGAGAAGAGAGAGAGAGAAGGCACACACACACACACACACACACCTGTCTCTTATACACATCTAGATGTGTATAAGAGACAGGGGGGATACAGGGGTCAGCTGGGTAGATCAGGG